AATGGTGAATCCAAATTTTGGCGGGTCAGCCAAATTATTGCCACGGGTCACGTAGTGACCCGCGGGTCATAGGTTGCTGACCACTGATCTATGCTATCCATCTTAATGTTAAAGTGACAAACTAGAGAGAAGGCAGATGTAGTCAATAGTACCCACTATAAACTCTTGTCAACCCACAAACCCAATGTGCAGAGCACAATTTTTGTGTTTTAGTTTTTGTCAGTAACAGAACTTGAACCACAGAGCCTCAGCAGCTCCAGAGTCCAGCACACTAACCACTAGACTGCACTCAGCCCATCATACATGTATCCAAGATTCAACAAGAAATTAATATATAAAACTACATATTATAATTCAAATACATGGAAATCATCCAGTCATAACATTTTTTAGATCTGATGTTCTATTTGTGTTTCTCAAACTTTGAATCTGAGCTCAGTGTTCTATGAAAAACAAATTTAAACAATGAGTTCTAATTATTTTATGATGAGTGTATGTTGGCCTTAAAGCATTTATGCATGAATTAAACCTGATCCAAAAGTGTCCACGTTCCATCTTGCAGTGATAAATTGTATATCTAAATATCTGTATCTTCAAATATTACAGCAAGCCAGATCCTACTAAAATTACTTTGAGACTAATATGTTATGACTCATCCTGAACCAGTATTACACAAACTGCAGAGGCACCAGTGAAGAAAGTACAACTCAACTTTTATAAACAATTATTAATACAAATTTTATGTGAGATAGCTTACAATTATTTGAACTACTGAGAACATGCACTATGGTACATAACCATTAAAAAGAAACCTCACTGATAATAAATTTTTGCTACCATAAACAGGGTGGCCACATTCTTTCTAAAATAAAATTTCATGGCTTTAAGGGCAAAATTTGACATTTTACAGACCTGCACACAACACACTGACACTTCAAATTTTCCTTATAATTAAAACCACTTTTGCTTGTAATATGGCAACAAAGGATCATTAAGATTATTGAAACCTTAGAACACAAATACTGCCACAAGTAGTTCATAGTAGACAAAATGTTGCATATTTTATTTATGAAAGAATGCTTGAGCTGAACTATCATCAAATATAACAAATTAAATGACTGCCACAAGACAGAGTGACTGACCAAGATTATACTGAATATTTCAATAATTGACACAGTTAAGTAGCATGATTAACTTGTGCCTGCAGGTTCCTAGATAAAAATGGAGAAAGACAATTTCTCCTGATTTATCAAGATTCATGGCCCCTCTGATAAAGTTGAATTAAATAAAACCAGGCAATAAGAATTTATCATCCTGATAATATTTAATGAAAATAACATTACACTAAAAAGTCTCCTTAAAGAGCAGTAGTTATTTAACATTATTACCATCATCCAGTGTTCTTTCATTGGTCCAGTTTGTTCTTTCTTTGATCTTCTTAAAGTGTGGATGGCTCTTGGACAAACCAGTATCAAATACTGCCACCTTCACACCAGTGCCTACAAAACAAACGTATTAACTGTACGATAATATACCACATCATATGTTTTTGTCACATCTCCATAGTGTTGACTTACTATTTCTATATAGATGCTGGAGAGTTCAATCAAATCTTAAGTTAAATAGTACTATTCAGTGCTTAAAAGCTATAATTACTGTGCACAAAATTTCAACCCAATAGTGGCTTGAAGAGAAATATGGAGTTACAAAGAAATGTATACATGTACGTACCAGTCATATATAAACTACAATATTATGGATTATTTTACTTGCCACTTGCCAATTGTGCAGATTTTAAAACTAGTTCCTCAAAACATGAATTTCTTCAGATATTCTTTTTTATATTAACATATACAATAGGCTAGAATAAAGTAATTTATTCCATGTTTTCAGACCCACAAAATAACTATTTTTTAAACACTTGTATACATTTAGAATCCAGCTAGAATAATTATATTTAGATTCACTACCATATTATTTAAATAATTAAAACAATAAGTAAAAAAACTAAAGAATTTGATATCTAATCTTAACTGATTTCTAACTGCTGAAGCTATTAAAATATGATTGCTTTCCTTATTTGTAGTCTTTTTTTTTTCTGGTTTAAATAAATTTGGAAAAGGTTTCTAAACATTGGTTATGTTGAGGTTTTAAATTCAGTGGTCAAGAAAAAAAAATCCTAATTAATATTAGTTATGTAATTCAATTACCTTTTATCAAATGATACAAATAAACATTATAAAGCTTATTAAAAAAATACTGTATTAATCTATCTCAGACTCTTAAATACTGTTGTAATAGCTCAATAAATTGATAACTTACTTTTTTTTCAAAAGGTGTAGAAATAATTTATAAACAAAATGATATTACTCTTAAGTACTCAAAACAATTAAATTAGTTTGTTAAGTAGAAGGAATAATTGAAAATAGTAATAATTAGAAACGAATTATGATTTGTTGATTATTTACGAGTCATGACACTGATTAAGCTGAACAACCTTCTATTAATTGAAAATAATGAGAAATCATAATGAAATATTTTGATTAGTTGGATAGTTAGAATAATCAAAAACACTAATTTCAATTAGTTGATTTTTTCTTGACATTAACTGATTTAATCATAATTCTGATTATTTTACTTAACACTACTATGTAATTATGCTCAAATTAAATTAATTATATCAATACTGCTTACCAGTAATTTTCATACTCCACAACACATCAGCTTGTAGTGTACTGGTAATCTGCCGAGGTACAGATCTAAGCAATCGGCGTCTTGTGTGATGGCCAGCTGCTAAGTTATTTCCCTATGAAATCATTATCATTTCTTACTAACCTCAAGTAAAAAATCAAGTAAACAGACCCATGCAATTCAAATAAACATATAAACTTCAAGTTTATTTAAACTATGCTTACTGAGTGAATAATTGAATAATAATTGCTAAAAATGTTTGTATAATTTTTAGAAATATTTCACACTTAAAAAACATGCTTTCAAAAATATAACATACTTTTCTGTGCAATCTTTGGCCATTTTGAAGTCTCAGTAGTATGACTAAATAAACCTATTTTACTAATTTCTGAGATATATGAAGCAATTTTTTTTGTGCACACTACAGCCCTTTCTGAAGCAATCTTGAATTTACATTTATTTTACACTTTCTCCTTTTCAGGTAATCAACTGATAAGTCAATGCAAATCATAGACACTGCCAGATTTAAATAAATTCTTAATGTATATCATCAAATACAGCCATCTTTAAAGGTATACACAATGTTGGTAAACCTATAACAACTTTGTTTAAACAACAATTAAAAAAAAAAAGAACTTTGATATCAATCTAAAACTTGTATACATGTCTCACTTTAGCCTGTTATTTATTATTTTGGTGAGTATTATCCATTAAACAGTTTCTTATTAATATGCATATTACACACTGAATACAAGAAATAATATATTTCTATTTACTAACATCAGAAATATGACTGAAATTTAGAAGGTTTCAACATGTGTTCATTTATAAAATTAAAAATATTTTGTTTATATTAGAAAACAAAACCACAAGCATTACAGAGTACTGTAGTTTTTAGCTACGTAATAAATGTTATAAGCACAGATAGCCAGATAACACAGAATGTTTCCAAATAGGGCAATATATGATTTTGGCAGTCTATCAGGTGTAATATATGTTTTTACAACCATCTTTATACTTCCTTATTTGTAAAAAGTATTTAGGGCTACCTAATTCCCACTTAAGACCTAACATTTAGATTTGTGTAAAACATCTGAATGGAAAGCTAGACAGTTAGAAAGAGTACAAAATTCTTCCATGTACAAGAATTACAATAAGTTGTAGAATATTTTCTAAAATTGTTTTTCGTTATTCATTAAAATGTACTTGTATAAGATTAGAAAAGGCAAAAAACAGGTGAAACATGATAATAATCACCAAACATTTTAGAACAACAGACCATGTGATGATCATTGTTAATTAACTCTTTCCACATGATCTTTTTGTAATCATATGGTCTTCATAGATTTGATACTACTAACTTTTGATTTGCCAGTCTTTCAGTAAACATTATAAGTTTTTCACGTACAAAAATCATATTTTGTGGTGAAGTATTTTCTAATAAACTAAAAAAAAATTTGGCCTTAAATATATCGAGTATTTGTTTTGAATAGTCCTTGTGCAAAGTGATTTTCATGTTAAGATTAAAAATACTTTTTTTCATCTCAAAAATCTCAAATTTCATTTGTTTAATCTCTAAATCCTCTTAAATACATTTCAAATGTTTGTCTTCAGTAAAACTTTATATTTTATATTGCTTCCTCTACCCTAACTCTATACAAGCCTGGTCAATTTAACTGACCATATAACCACCAAAAAAAATTGAAATAGATCTAAATTACACTCCTTTTCTTTATAGAATGGCTTCAAATGTAGAGTGAAACTGAATTTGTTTATCCTAAGTAGTTTTAAACTCGTAACAGTTTAAATTATAAAATTTATAATTAAATTTTATTGTTTTATTGCCCTTTGATGTGTTTAACTACTGTTTGCACCATTATAAGTTGTAAACCATTTGGGAAACATACAGCTATCAAATTACATTACCCATGAGCTACTCTGAGCTGCTCGTGTGTGTGTGCCTCTTGAAATATTTTTATTATATTATTATTATGGTTTATTTTACCTAATCTAACCTTAACTAACTTAAAGGGATCTCTATTTTTTTACATTTTAGTTACTTTTAAAATAATAAATAAAGAAAAAACATAAAAACAAGAAATAAAGTACTTATTCAATTATTTATTTTTGTGCTCTCAACTATCGATGACAGGTAACCCTACTTTTTAAACTAATGGTAGTAGTACATTAAATAATTTTTATTTAATTAAATAATGCACCAAAGAACATAGACTAATAACATGCAAAAAGTAGACAACTTCCTCTAACAATCACAATTTTTCTGGCTTTCTAACAATGTGATAAGAGCCTTTACAAATGACTCCAAGCTAGCCATTGTGATTCCCATGGGAACCAGAGTTGAATGAAAAGTGAAATTGATATTCTGTGTTCAGAAAACAACATTATACAAGGTGTCATTTGATAGATGAAAACCTTGACTTTCTGTTGGTTATAGGTAATATATAATTAAACATAAGAGAGAACTATTAATAAATCCTGAAAGAGATGATATGACAGGTGGGGTCTGATTTTCTATTTGATAGCTCTGTAACCAAACAAAATTGAAGGCTATAAAAATTATGGTTTGTCTGAGCAATGACGATTTTACAGCAAGTAATTTATGTTTAATTTTGTAGTTTCTGGATGGGGGTGGGTGGATAAAATAGAAATGAGAAGACACCTAGAGAAAATGTATCAAACTAGGGGAAATTCAGGATTTTTTTAAATACTGCTTTATAAATTTAAGAACTTAAAACTTATATACTATTAAAATATGGATTATTAGCTAAGATTTTATGCTATACTAATTGGTATAACATAAACAATAAGGAGTTTAACAAAATTTTGAATGTAAGACACTAAAACCTTATGTCATGCACAGTAAAGCGAGAGGGTTAAGGTGGTATTGGCAAAGTGACAATACTGGAGAGACTTTCATTAATGCTTAACAGATTCTGTTGGGCACAAAAGTGAACTTGAAATATAACAAAGCTTTTGCCAATGAAGTTGTTCCTTTAAAATATCAAACATGAGATGTGTCAGCTTCACATAGATTTTGGAACCAACTGGCATTTCCTTCTATTTACAAGCATGAAAAAAAGCAACTAATAAAATTATATCCATCCTACAGAAGAGAAAGATGACCGATAATATAGTGGTATGAAAGTGCTACTACAATTGGAAGGCTATGATTGACTTTTGAAGACAAATATAGGCAAAATAATATTTCTAACAGTACCTCATTCAATGTAATGACTATTGTTGTTATGTAAATATGTATATAGAGAGGTAAGTAGGTAGAAAGATGGATGTGTTAATTTACAAACATAATAAAGACTACTCACATAATGTATCCTAAGTACTACTTTTATTTGAAGCTCAAAATGTATGGGTTAAAATGATTTAAAATCAAAAAGACCTATAAAAAATTAACACACACAATAAAAAAATCTGCTCTATATTCAAATAGTTTTCATACATAATTTCACAAGCACAGTTCTGTATCTTTCTGAAATACAAATCTACTTAAACAGTAGATACAAGGGGTTAGAAAAAAAACGAAACTATATAAATGGTAATGACTTTTCTTTAAAAAATTGACAAACAAACAAAAAATTCACAATACTTAATATTATAATACACTTATTATTTTACACTGCTTGTAAAAACTGTTGACAATAAAACTCACTGTTAAAACTTATCTTATTGAAAAATGAGCAAAAGTTTATTTGTATAAAATTAAACCAGAATGTGATAAATTACATGAACAAAACTTACCAAGGATAAACTGGTTCTTCTTTCAAAGGGCCGAGACGAATGCCAACTGTGGAGATGCCTACAGTCAGGTAAACTAGTGGAGTCACATGGTGGTAAAGAAGGCTCATTTTTCCAGGCATTTTTGTCATTTACTAAAGAAAACATAAGCTTCTCTTGAAATTTTATTTAAATAAATATTATGTAAACTGTGTCATAAAACTATGCAAATATATGTGTATTTAACTTAGTTATTAAAATTAATTTCAAATTCTTTGTCTGTTTTTGGCACCCAAGAAAAACTGGGTGTAGGTTTTAGATTTTTCCCTCTCCTTTGAATAGAATTCCCAAACTAAGACCCAGAAAGAAAAAAAAAAGCTACAAAGAGAACACTTATGGTTAATGACCAATGTTGTGTAATGTCACTTCTGGCAAAATGTGTTACTGGATGGGTTAAAATAAATAAAAAATAATAAGTTTGATATGTTTTTTAGTCCTTCTACATCAATTGAAATTCTTTGAAAAAATTAAGTGTTTTAATATCTTAATCATGTAAATTTTTATTATTTACAGATCTGCCAACATTAAATTTTGAAAAAATAGTAATCCCTACTGGGACAGGGGGAAAAATAGTAAAAAAAAAGAAAAGAAAATGGTGTCGCTATTAATTATGTTCTATCTAATATTTACTAATTACAGTGTACTACTGATTGAGAGCCCTATAAGTAGCACTTTTGGCTTTTTTAACCCTGTGTTAGTCTTCTGTAAAAAACTTCCATGATTCCAGGGTCCAACCGGACCTCATCATAAAAATAAATCTAAAAATATTTAAATAATAGTTGACTGTAATTTTGGAAACAAAAACACTAACACTAAATCTTTTCATTTATTAATCAATACATGAACATTAAAAATTATAACTTCTTTTTTTTACCACCTAAACTAAGTGTAACAATTTAACACAAACTAGCGGAATACTTAAGCTACTACGAACAACAAGAATTTACATGCCTCTATCTGTCAGCACCAATGTTTACAAAATACTTGGGATCCATGAAGACCTTGGAAGACTAATGCAGGGTTAAGAAAACATCTTTAAATTCTTGGGAGAAACAAGGTTTTTGTGCTATTTCCCTCTTCCTTATCAGCACTGATTCTAAGGTGAAGTTTGACATTGATCCTAAAAAGTCTGTCCTTTTTCAAAAACAAATGAGAAATTCCTCTCAAACCTGTATTGCTGTGTGGTATTACATGGATAGACTTCATTACTTTGGAGAATTTAGCAGTTAACCAGCTCATCTTTCATTTTTCCAATACTATACCAACAATTGTCTGCTGGCTCATTGAGATCTACACCAGTCAATGGATCAGCCTGTTATGTGAGAAATTGCTGGCCCAAGGTGAATCCTTTGCAATGAATGGCCTGAATTTTCCAACAAAGTACTTTACCAATTCCAAAATTACAACTTTTTCTGACAAATATGTCTGCTACTTCTGCATGTTTCAAAGTTGTGTCCTGAAGTAAGAACTTGGTCTTCATATATTCCAATGCAGTTTCATAGTAATTTCTTACATCTTCATAGAAAGAGAGCTGGCTTCTTTTGTTAAGTTTTGCAAGGAAAGGTTCAACTTCATAACCAATTACAAAATTATCATTTTTAACTGAAGTTTTCTGTCTTTGAAATTTAAATCCAAAATACTTGAACAATTAAAAATTGCATGTGGTGTCACAAGTCTACTTAACAAATCCTTGAATAAAGCAAACAGGATTATCTGCAAGCATTCAGATGAGTGGGTCCTTAGACTGTAA